GAGGGACGAGGGGAGCCTGGCTCGGCCTTGGTTTGTCGGAATAACCGAGGTCTCCCTTTTACACCCCATCTTTTGTCAGAGAACTTCCCCAAAGTGCATCGTGGTGATGTTAGGTATCGGCAAAAGAGTGAGAAAACCATTCTGCCTGTGGTGAACAGCCTTTGGTTGCATTGACTTGTTCCCTCTTGCTATCAAATTTACTAAATTTTGTGTATGAGTACACGACACACAGCAAACGAGACCTCTGCCTTTCACCGGGATACCAGCAGAAAGGTAAGTGGGAAAAACCTCTTTAACCAAGTATCTTCCCTGAAGGACAGGAGAGCGTGTCAGCACCTTGTCAGGAGCGGGACCTTTTTGTGCCTTCCCCTGGCTGGAAACTCAAGTCCTTGAGTTGGTTGCTTTAGCCGAGAGGAGGAAACGTTTCTTCAGCCTTTATGGCCCTACAGTTAATGGCAGTATTTCACTGTACCAGCACAACGCAGTTTCACCCATTTTGTAGAGACCACAGGGTGACGGGCTCTTAATGGTCATACGGAGCTCTTACGTTCGGCTTTGGAGTGTGTTATAATTAATCAAGCCCAAAAAGTACCCTTGGTAGCAAGTTACTCAATATAAACCACTGAATTTCTAAAAAAAAGAGAAGTATTTCCTAAGTCTTGGTTGGTTCGAATGACCTTGGTCCGAAACCAGAGCAAATAGCAGAACAGCAATTTTTTTGGTCCGTAGCTCCAGGATGAAACTTCCAGCCAAAATATTAAATGCTCCATCATCAGTCTGAGCCAACTATTTATTTCCGCCAATAATCACCACAAATATGACCCAGTAATTTCAGTTTGGTGTGTTTCGGGCCATGCATGTGCCAAAGTTCTTCAGGCGATGAGATTACAGAGCACATCAATCTGGGATTTCCAGTACGCAGAGTGCCTGCATTCGTGAAGGACTGACACCTCTGAATTTGTGCCCACGCCTGTGAAGAGTAAGGGCAGTAGAAGCTACGGGGTTCAACAGGACGGGCTGCGTTTCAGCAGGGGACGGGACAGGCTGACACTTGGTACCTTCCTTCGGCTGTGAGCAGCCACAACTTTGGCCGAGATGGTAAAATGTACACGACAAACCAACAAAAGAAATCGGCTCCTAAACTCAAATGTTAGGAAGAAACCAAAATATCAAAATTTCCCACAGATCGATTTATTCAGGAGCATATTTAAATATAGTTGGGTTTTCTTCCTTTCTTTGAACAAGAGGCACAAGCTGGAAAAGGCATTACTTCTGGGGGCTCTCCAAACTGCACGTGCTCTTACAGCAGGCATTGCGGGGCCGGCTGCTGGCAGCGTATTAGGAGACTTTGTTCTGCAGAGATTGTCCGGGAGGTTTTGTTTTGCTTTTAATTGTCTCTATAGAGAAGGGAAAGCCTCTGCAGAGAGGCTTTAACACAGCATCTCTGCTGCCTATTAATTCCCGAGATCTTGCTAACTAGCTTTGTTTCCTCTTCAGAGCCCGGCGCTCTCTTTCGCCGGAGCACGAAGCTATGTAGGCACAGCGCTTGTCACTTGGTTAAAGCCAGCGTTTCCCTACCGCTGCAGACAAGGCCGGCCTTTATTGGCTGCAGAACAAGATAACGGACTTAATCTTCCCAGTAACACGTGAGTTTTCATGTATCACTTTAATCTGCAAAACACTGGGGCCGAGTGTACCGTCACATGCCGATTTTACTTTTCTATGAGCGAGTGACTCCCCGGCTCAATGATGGATTGTTTGCTCGCTTTTAACAACAGTCAAGATGGTGAATGCCCCGGGGTGATAGACAGTGTGCAATGGGAACGGCAGCAAAGCTGATGGCCCAGTTCAAGTTCACCTGACAAAGCTGAAGCAGTCTGCGAGCAGCATTCGAGAAAGGATTATTCACACTAGCATTATATTTTTGAATGCATTTTTCTTCCTGCGCAGCTGCCCAGCTCCCCAACACTGAAGGTTTATGCACCATAATAAAGAGATTTAATTTTTTTTTTTTTTCCTTCTCTTGCTTCTCCCTCTTTACACCTAGTTCTAATCGGTCAGTGCAGTGATAGGGCATCTTTCCAAACAACTCGGCACAAACATCACCTAGAAAACAATAGGATTGCTAAAAAGCGGGAACAAAAGCCTAAAAAAATCTCGGCTGGCTGCAGAAACAAAAGCGGATGGTTTTGTTAAAGCTAACTCTCTGCTGGGGACCCATCTTTTTGTGGAAGTTCGATGCTGTGTTCCCTTTCTTATCAAGAAAAATCTCCCCAAAGAAACGATCCCAGCCTTTGAGCTCGGGGGCAGTGGGACATCAGGGCTTTGGAGAAGAGGAGAATTTGAAATGAAGGCAGCTTTTCACTGCTGATGGAGCGGCAAAGCTACCTAACGTTTTCCAAATGAGCCCCGTAATACACGTGGGAGCGCAGATGCGTATGCGTGGACACACACACATATTCTGGAGGTGCTGGCAGGGTCTTGGAAGAGTAAAATCTAGGTCTCATCACAGTTTCTTTTGGCTGGAGAGGCAGCAACAAATGTTAGTTCCAGTCCTCTGTGTTGTTCCAGTCATATGTGGTTAAGGGGAATATGTCTAACCATTGCTTGAACCTTTCCAGAAGCAGCTTTTCTGCCTGCCGGTTAGGCTAGTAACACCAGGAAAGATGTGCTGGAAGAACAGAAGATCACTTTCCTTCTCCTGTGGAACAGGAAATCAGCTGCAACCTGTAGATCTAAAGATATGCCCTCTGGTTTTAATCAAAATCTGCAATGCATCCCTGACAGAGGCTGAAACAAGCACCCTCCTGGATGCCCATGCAGGTGGGGCTGGAAATGAGAACCCACTGAAAAGGGAACCCACTGGAAATGAAGGTTGAAGGCCACTCATCCTGGCCAGGTAACTCAGTAAAAGTCTGTCTGCAGTAGATGTAAAATGGACAGTTGCATTTTTTAGGACTAAAATGCATTAGTCAGCCTATTCGATTTGAAAATGCTTCTTTCATCATAGTCTGGATTCTGGTAATATTGCCAATAGTTTTCTGTTTTTGTTTTTTTTTTTCAACCAGACACTCCAGCTGGCTTAACTCAGCACTGAAGGGGCGCAGTATTTTGTGTCAGGAGCTTCCATCCCCTCTTTTTTACGGTTGTTTTCTTTACAGCGCATGTATACATTATCTGACGATGCCAGCAGGTTTGACTTTTTTCAGTTAACCAGCCTGTGAACGGAAAAAAAATAAATTTCAGCTGTCCAGCTAGAATTCACAAAGTTGGGAGGGCATTGCTTTCCTCTACGTGCTTCTGAAATTTGCTGTGACAGAGTGACTCCAGCAGTCAGGTCTCTTGGAGGTGGGTGAGCGCTTATCAGTGTGTGAATTGCTGTAGGTGTCCAAGGAGGTCACATGAATGAATGGCAAGCTTTAGTTTAAAAAAACCCTCACAAACAGCAAAACAAAAACCCCCCAAACCCACAAAAGATTGTTTCATAGAAAGTAAAAGGCTGCAGCTGCCTCTAACCCCAGCAGGCACTACTGAAGCATGTGGCCAGCATACATGCCACAGGCTGTTCAGTCCTGGTGTTAAAAATCAGGGGCTCTCTGAGTATGCTTGGCAACAATTGCAAACAATAACAAAAATACTGCTAAAATGTTGGAGTTAAAGGACTAAGTTGCAGCTGTTTGCATGTGTGATAGTAAAGCCCGTTCCCGGCACAGGCGGAGTTGTCAAGAAACTCCTCATCGTGTAGGTACAAATTTAGTCTTTGGCTAAAGGAGTGGGGTGGGAGGATCGGGGTCTCGGTGTGGGCTGTTGGTAGAGGCAGTGTGTAAATATACCACTTAAATATTACTGGACATCTGTTTTACTTTTATAAATGTATTTTCTGGGATGTGCCAGAAAAGCAGCAGGTTGGAAGCTCTGCAGGCTGTGCTGCCACCAGCACTGAGGCACAACCCATCGGACACCTCGTCCTTGCTACTGGCAGCAAATTGCCAGTCCCCTTCTGTGGGGGACGCGGCTGAGAGAGGCACCTCTCCACCTCTCATTCCTGAACACCTTCCACCTCGCACCTCTGTGAGGCCAGATGACAGAGGCTCAAAGGGAGGGGGTGCATTGCCTGCCTCGTTGGAACCAGAACTGGCACTGAGGCTGCTTACTCTGTGCTTATTAGGTGCTGGACTGCCCCCCAGAACCGCTCCTTTGTACAAGTGGTTGCACTCATGTCCAGCGAGGTTATCCGTAGGAATTAGTTATAGAATTGGTCACTAAATCTGCAGCGCTCACAGTTTCGTTACAGGCAGAAGAGATGTGCTGTCCTTGAGTGAGAACTGTTCTTCTCCTGGGAAAGTCTTCTGAGAATTTGTTAAATGTAAGAGTCCTAAATTATTCACGTCAAGCACCTCTTGGTTCAAGAACACTATTTTTTCCTTGCAGAGCAGCAGAGCTTTCGTGGCTGCTACAGTTAAAACCGTATCTCCACCTGTTTAGATAATGCGCAGTCACATATGCACATATACACACACACCTCTGAAACAAACTTTGTTAATTTTTAAGCAAACCAAAACATTACCATTTGTTCCCTGAAGCATTTATACAAGTTTTTGGAAATTTTACAGATGGTTGAAATACAGCTCCCTGCTTCCGTCTCACTCTATTTCATATTCCTTTCCAAAGAGCAGATGGTGCCTATGGCCCTTGCTGGGTCTGAATGGATTAGTATAGAGTCTTGTTGTACACCTCTAGATGAATTTGGGAGGCCATTTTCTTACTCTTCTTATGTTCTTCTGTTAATTCTTACAGATGGCTACACCAACATGAGGTTCAGATGGTACACAAGATAGTAACATGGTATCACCAGCCCGGATGCAAAGACCAGCACTTGCCAAACTCATGCAGGTAATGACTGACCCGACTCACACGAGTATCGCCTCAGTGGCTCTGTTCTCACAAAGACAATACGCTCCTGAAGGTGTGCGGGATAAAATACTGTCCAGCTTATGGGTCTACACTGGCAGCTCTACTGAGGGTCTTGTTAAGGAAAGGCAGCGACAGATCTCATTGCACTTCATGTGTTGATTATTAAAGAAGTAATAGATTCCCTTCTTCCCGAAGTTGGAGTGTGAAACATCTTTGCTATTAAGAGAATGAATCTGTGGGTCTGTGAGGTAGATGAGGCCTTTCCCGTTACCTGTCACCCAACCTGTGGAAGAAAGGATACACCTCAGTATCGAACATCACAGCCTTTGTATTATCGTACTCAGGACTGCCTGCTTGGCACGGCCCACGCTCTGTTACTGTCACTTCAGTGATTCCCAGTTTGCACCTATGCCAGCCAAAGCAGAACCCTAAGAGGTACATAATGAATATTTAATGAAATGAATATCCCAAAGATACCTGCGTGCTAAAGGTTGAGTCTGAAAGGTTTTATCCTTGCCTCTTAACCAAAGAGCTCACTTCTCCATTAACTGAACAGGGGACCTTTTTTTAGGCTTGCCCATTTTAGGAAGCAGGAAGCGTGACAAAACCCACTGCCTCTTTTAGTGGTTCTCCTGCAGGTGGTTCCACAAGACACATCCCGGCAGACGGGCTTTAGTCTAAATGGATGCAGCCCACTCCATGGCATGAAGCTGTGGCATGCTTGGGAGCATGTGGCTTACGCACTCCTGCTGTGATGTAGTGGACAACAAGGGCACTGCTCAAGGCAAGAACGTACCTGCACGTACCTCCCTCACTTTATGTCATTTAGGGACAGTACGTCCCTTATACAGCATACTCTGCAACATGAGAGGACCCACAAGAAATGAAGTTCACTGTAATACAAACCTTGCAGATCAACAACAACGTCTGTTCCATTGGAGAACTCATAGCAGAAATGGCCATAGGCCAGACCGTACTCTGTGGCTTTGTACTCAGTCTTTACTACCTTCGTGTTATTGGACAGCTTCACAAACTCCCCAAGGATGTAGGGCTCCACGCTCACACATCCTATTATAGTTCTGTCTTCCAGTATCTGAAAAGAGAGGGTTAATGACAGTCATGCAAGCAGAGATGTGAAAACAAGGATGCTAAAGCTCCTCTAACAGAAGTCTTGTTTTTTCCTCCTGGAACTTTCCATCGTAAGATGGATGGAAAGAGTCTCCATGTTAACCCACTGCTGATTCAAAACACAGGCTGTTTAGATGAGGAGCTCACATTTAACAAGAACAAAGGGTGAAACATGATCCAACACAAAATCAGCCCGACAGGCCAAACTCCACGAGGAATGAATTCTACAAATTCTACCTAGTTTGTCCACCAAACAAGAAACTTCTTTCAGGAAACTACGTCTAAAGAATAAGCTAGAAAGCTGGAAAGATTTGGCTAAACCTGTACTTGGTCCTTCTTCAGTGTGTAAATAACCAGTGGGAGGTTCTGAGGGTTGTTTTAGTAATTTCTGTGTTCAGAGACTTGCAAGTACTGATGCCAGACTCTCATTAGGCCTTATTAGCGAGTGGCATAGAGCCAGATCTAGCGCCAGAATGGCTAACAGAAATAGCAATACGCAGAGAATGCTATCCTATACCTACTCATAACAAAACAGTGAATTCAGCTCTGTACCGTAGAGGGTAGCTCTCCGTATTTGAAATACAAGTCACATTGACAGTTAAGCACACGAATAAAGAAAAGATTCTTTACTTTCCTGCTGGGGGCTGGATGTCAGCTTTAAGCTCTGTGCCAGGTCACCCAGATGCAGCTCCTGCCTCTAACGGTCAGGCTGGGTGCTGGCACAGCAGACCCATTTGTCTCACGGCTTTGCGCGCTGTCCTCACAACCACTGTGCAGAAGAAAGAGGGTAGAAGCAAGAGCTGTCCTGCCTACAGTTACCTGAAACACATAAGGCCAGGATGATCCGTGCGTTAAGACTTGAGGGCATGTCTAAGGCAGCCTCCTCAAAACTCCGCATTTGGAACTGAGTGGGCAAACAAGCATCTCCCATGACCAAAAGCGGCTGTGGATGTCACGCTGTTGCAAATGACGTCCCAGCCAGCTCTCAGCCACTTGGTTCTTGTGGCTCTCAGGAGCCCACCTCTGAGGCTGGACCACTGAGATGGAGGGAGAGCAATGCTTCTCATTGAGAGGCAGCTGATGGATCTGTGACCTTGCTGAAGCTCATTGCCCTGCCAATTCCACCAGCCTTTCTTCACCTGACCACGTACGCTCAGCTGCAAGGAAGGCACAGGCATGTCCTGCTCATCGCTGAGTACAGCCCACACATATGGGCCAGACAGATACTGGTTGCACTGTCAGGGACAAGCGGAGAAGGAGCAGGCATTGGATCAGTGGCAAGGTTGTGTCAACAAGTTAATTGAACCGTGGTTTAAAGGTGATCGTGGTTTAAAGGTGTCCTATTCTATGCGAAGGGGTTGTTATTGAGGAAAAGAGCTTTTTGTGATAGCCATTTGAAGGATGACTGAGCTGCCAGCATGATATGGCCATGAAAAATGCAGGTCTCACTAAGGGTAAGGATTCCTATTGCCCCTGCAAAAGGCGTGGAGGGGTCTCAGGGGAACACTGTACAATTCTGATCACCAATCTTTAAGAAATGGGAGTTCAAAGTAGAGCAGGTTCAGGCCTTCACGGATGAAAAGGGGAAGAGAGATCTGTGTCTTGAGGTGACACAGAAACAAGCTTGGGTTCCCTAGCCTAAAGAACAGAGGCTATGAGGGGATGTTATTGCTGCCCCTTCCTTAAATCTAGGCCTCAAAGAAGTTGTGAGAAAGACAATAAATATAAAATTACTAATTTTAGGTTAGAAAGTAGCAGAAAGTTTCCAGACATCAAGAGAGCAGCTCTAGAATTATTTCTTATTGGAAGCAACGAAGGTTAAAACACAAAACACAACACAGCTGCTTTTAAGATAGAGCTTAACGAGTTCAAAAACGGATTATGCAGTGCGGTTGCCTGTGGTATCAGGGCACTGGACCTGATGAGTCATGAGGAGGGCCTTTCCAGCCCTGTGTTCCTGAAATTCAGCATCATGCAGAAAAGGCCTCAAAATTGCCCTGCAGCAAATCAACTTGTCTGCCAGAACAGCTCCTGGGCTTCATTTACAAGTGAGTTTCTGACTTCTAACAGTACATGGCATCTTTTCTGCCAGTGCACCCGTGAACTTGTAGCTCTGCCGGTAGGTGTCTTCTGTCCTGAAATGAGCAAATGCAGCTACCAGGTAAGATCACATGAACGACAGCCTGTCATCTAGAGGTGGCCTAACTGCTAGTATTTTACAATCAAAATTGACTTAAGAGATTCTTCCCATCAATTCCTTTGTATTGCTTAGAAGACAGTTCTTACCAGGAGTACTGCAGAGGGGATATAAAAGATTTGGGTAGGGACCTTTTGCTCATACAGCCTTTTGTTGAATTCCGTCACATAGTACTGGGCAGTCATTTGCCGTTCCACGTCACTGAAATGATGAAGAATTCCTTTTTCTTCTTTATATTCTTTCCCAACATACCTGAACAAAAAGAGAAGTGCTTGGTGTAGCCAGATTCGCAGCAGACTGCACTTGGGAAGCCCTACTTGTGATACAGAAACATCACTACAAAGCAGAGCTTGGCTGTTCAGAAGCAAAGCCAGCTGCTGGCGATGCTTTTAAAATGGCAGTGATTAAAGTTGTGGGTTTTTTCTTTTATAGCTCTTACAGGCGTAAAATGCTGTACTGATCAATCAAATGCCAGGATGAGGGTTTCATAACACCAGAATGTTTAAAGTCAGCTCTTCCTGACTCTGAAGGGAGACCCGACTCAGAGGTACTTAAAATACCCATAATAATTCATAAGCTACTTCTAATAACAATCTGAAATCTGCAATTAGCACTTAGCAGAGCTCTCCTGGTGCAGAGGCCTTTATGAAGCAAACAGGTGATTTTAATCCTGCTTTCAGAGCAGATGCACCCATTGCATAAACCTGCTGCTAAAACGGAAGAAAAGCAACTGAAACACCTTTCTGCCTATAGGTAATGAGAGACATATATATATTGCTATATTGCTAATTCTCTAACGCAAAGCTAGAGGTCAAATAAAAAGGAAGCAACGTTTAAGCTCCCATGAGATTATCCCAGCACAGACAAAGCTGAAGTCAGGCCTAAGAGTTGTCATGAGCAAATGAACGCTAGCACGGCTGTTAGAAGACACCAGTGAAGTAGCTTTTTCTTCCCAGAAATTAAAAGGTGGAGAGTTACATGGAGTGATGGGAAACATTGCCAAAATGCTCAAGAGATTTGGGAAAGCCACAAAACATACTTGCTACAGAAAATCAGCCAAAATGTAACCAAATGTAAACTAGGTTGAAACCGACTAAAGAAACAATCTTCTCCCACTGGGACTATGATTTCTGTAGTTGTCCAAGTAAAAACTTGTACTGTCTTCCGAAAATACTTGATAAAAGCTACTGTCTGGCAAGGCACTGGACTAGCTGAAGCATAGGTGTAAGACTAATCTCACCAGACAGTTTTCATTCATATTTACACAGAAGCAGCATTGATAAACATTCTGATTCAGAAATTCATTTGGTCAATACCTTCCCAGGATTTCTTCTTGGTGCAGGAAGTGGATCCAAAATGCCCTTCTCTGTTTGCCTTCGTTTGCCACGTTCAGGTAGTCCCCAATGAATACAGCCGTTTCTTGGCCTGTCCAGAGCCCTGATTTCTTCGAGTATTTTAAAAGAAGAGCAGCTACAAAAAGAAAACACCACAAGTAGAATGGAACAATTCCACAGGACTGCTCTAAGTCTGTGCTGAGGGATGAAGTAACCAGCACCCAGGAGATAAGATATCCAGGCTTCTCTGAAAGCAAAGTAAGGGGCTATAAAATAGATGCTAAGGGGTACCTAGGTGCAGAGCTGGATAATTTACACTAAGGACAAAAAACTGCTAAACAGGCTTGAGACATGCAAGATGGGATGAGCCCCAAGTGGGTTTTACTTAATGAGCTCAATGAGGCAGCCTATAGTGGTGTTGCTCCTGGCTTCTGTACTTCTTAGAATACTGATCAAGCCTCTGCATATTAAGGTATGGCTGTTATTTATGATTAACTTAATAATCATTATCTTAAATACACAGTTTGCAGGGATGAAATGTGAAATCTAAATGGGCGACAAAAGCAGAGACTCAAGTGATGGGGTAGAAAGGGCTGGATGAACTGGCACAGGGAGTTGAAGCAGCCTGTTATCTCTTGCATGAAGGACTGAAGCAGGAGGGGCTGAGTGGGCATGGAGATGGAGCCCATTTCCATGAAGCTGTGACTGACGTGCAAATGGGTAAGAAGGAATAGGAGGAAATTGTTCAAGGGAGTGTTCTTCCATTGCTAAAATTCTTTATATAAAAACTCACAGAACAACAAAAAAATGAAGTCCTAATAAATGATGACTAAAACATTGTGTTAAAAAGCCTGAGCCAAGACTGTTCTCTGTGGGAGCACCTGTTGCTGAGTGAAAATGCCCATCGCTGTGTGGAAACTTACAGTATGCTTTACGAAGCTGTTTAGTCTTAAAAGTTCCAGCAGGCATCAGTCTCTGGACAAGCCACTTATGTTCTACCCCTGCCAGAAGCTGCATGTAATCATCATCCCTCAGAAATCGAGCATCAAGGACTTCTTCCTTCGTTCTCCCAGGCATGAAGACAAAACCACTTCCCCCTGGGTTCGGAAATGGACTTTCAGGGGAACTCCTGGGCATCTGTGCTGATTTGTACCATGAACTCAGAGATGAACTGGATTGTCTCTTGCTGCTCACCATGTCCTGAGACTTTTCTTCATCTTCTTCAGTAGTGGCACAGGCAAAGTGCTCGGTTATGGATCTCAAAAAAGGGCAAAGCTGCTGGTGCACCAGGAGTTGATTGATGCTTTGGAACGGGTGCTGTAGGATAATTGTTTACTAAGTCTCCAATACTGATGAAATCAAATTCAGCGTCATCTATTGTTTCTGCTTGGGTGTCAACTTCAGGCACTTTGAGAGATCTGTTTCCCACCACGGCAGATTTCCTCAGCCAGTCACGCACAGAGGAGTCGCTGGCCCTTTTCGGCTCGATGCTCGTTGATAGTACAGAAGTAGCGCCGTTTGTGGGGGGCTGTGCCTCAAATGAGGGCTCCTCTGTGCTATCTCCAGTTTCTCCTCCTGAGTGGACCCACACAAACTGGTTCCAGGGCCGGGATGCGGGGCTGCCGCTGCTGCCCTCCCTGTCGCTGTCCTTGGTCCTGCAGCCCAGGGAGGAAGCCTTCTCCTTCTCCTCCTCCTCCTCCTCCTCCTCCGGCCTGGCAGGAACAGAGTAAGAGGTGGAGAGGGAATGAACCGCGTTTTTCACTCCCCCTGCTTTCTTTTCAGAAGAGCTCTTTCCACTGTGTCTTCCCTCCGGCAGCTCTTCTCTGCAAAGAGAAGCCTTCTCTACCAGCCTCCCAGTCAGAGGTGTATCTGCCTCGAAGGAAGGCTGAGAGGATCCCACACAGCTGTGTAGAAGCTCTCGAGGAGAAGGGTGCCAGGCTCTGGGAGGCAATGAGCGCAAGGATGCAGGTTGACCGTTTTCGTCAGATTCTGTTGTGCAACATTGCTCCTCCACTGAGCCCTTTTCCAGCTGCTGCCCTTCTCTGGGAGACTCTTTGCTGCTATTACAGTTTAGTTCCTCCCAGCTGGAAGAGTAACTTGAGTTTGACAGCTTGCACCAAGATCTCTCTGAAGTCGTGGTTTGACTCCTGTTTTGCCGTCTGCTGAAAACACTGTTTTCACCATTTATTTCTATTTCTATTTCTAATGGATCAACCTTTTCATCGAAGGAAGTTTTCATCACATCAGAACCAACGGATTTATTTCTCCGGCCACCGAGTCTCTCTGAGCTACTTCCTGCTGTTGGTGAATTCAGCATTTTGACAGCGCCTTTCCTCTGGTACACTATTTCTTCCGTAGTACACACAGTGTCTATGTTTTTAGTTTCTGTTCTTAAGGTTGTGATACAAGCTCCCACTTGGGTTTCTCCTGGTGTGGCTTTATGAATCCTGCAAGTATTTTCAAATACTTCACACAATGACAGGTGGTGCTGAGAATGCATGGCAAGGATTTTGTCAAAGTTGGCTTCCCCTTGCAGGATAGGTTTTTGCACTGTGCCTTTATAACTGTCTGGAACGTAAGACCTGGCATCAGAATTAGGGAAGCTTTCCACTTGCAGGTGCTTCTTCACAGATGTGATCAGAGACATGATCTCTTTGGCAAGCATTCCTTTCTCTTCCTCTCCTGTAAATGACATGCTGTATGAGTCCAGTTTTCCCACGGCATCTTTACACAGCCGACTCACCTCACGGAGCTTCTCACTCTCCCCATAGAGCCATCGATGCACGGTTGTGAGGCAGAAAGCAGCTTTAATAAAACTATGGAGCTCCTGCTTGCTGGTGACGGGACTCTTATCGTTCTTGGTGAGGAGGCCGATCTCAAAGGATTCTTTGGCTTCGGACAAGTAGAACTTTCTCTTTTCTGGGGGACAGTCCTTGGAGTGACTGTAAGACAGCAAACACACCCCACGGATGTTCTGGGAGGGGACGAAAGAGGAATGAAGGAATTAAAAACCTGGACCTCTGTCAGAGACAAAGGGAGGAGAAAACATGTTTCTTTCCCTTACACAATTTGAAGCAAACATCGGCTCTAACTGCCTGCTGCTGTGTTTCCCGGAGAAAACAATCTTGGTCTTTTTCCTTTGAAATATAGCTGTAGTTACAGGAGAAGCAGCATTCCCAGATGGGCTTGAAAGCCCATCCTCGCTCTGTGGACAGATACTGCTTTCTGCCCATCTGCTTAGCTTCTGATCGGAGTTCAGAGCAACATATTGCATCATACCCACAACACAGACACAATACCCTGTATGATGCAATGTTTGAAAGCTGGATTAGAGCCAAATTTAATTGCTTGGACTCTTCTCTTACACAAATAAGACTTTCAGAATGAAGACCTATACTTACCACGGCTGTGAGGACAAACAGCGGGGTGTACTGGCTGTAGGCTGCCGCTAGTTTGCAGGCCTCAGCAGCTGATAAGAAGCGATGACTGAACTCTCGGAGAAGGCTCTAGTGAAATGAAAAAAACAAGAGGGAAAACCTCATCTCAAAGGCTTTCTTTTCAAAGAGATGGGCCTACCTGGTAAGCAACTCTGTTTTGAATGAAGTAAGGCAGCTTGGGATTTGTTTCTTGTCTGTTGTTGGTTTCCTGAGCTCTCTGAGACCTTTGAGTATTGATAGAGCGGGACATGATATCTTAAACAAGAACAGCCAGGTCTGTTTCCACAGGAACCTTTTTGCTCAGGTTTACCATCGATGCATCACTTTTTGACTCTATAAATATTCTATATATTACACAGACACTCTGTAAATACTCTTAACGTTTTCTGTTTCCTGAAGCAAGGCATTCTTCCACCTAGGTGCTAATGAACTTTTTCACCAGGACCAATGGAAGTTTCTTCAGCCCTCTCAGCAAAGGAGAGGAACTGGAGGAAGAGCAAAGTGTGGGTGAATTTGGGATAACAACATACAGTCCATCTGAAGAATCCACACACACAAATAACAAATCAAGTCCTACCAGGTCAATCTCAGCATTGCTTTTAAAACGTACATAATCCTTCTCATTCATGGAAGCAAAGATGTCTGCCATAATACCCAAGGAAGTAGCAATTCCCTGAAAGAGAAATGGAAAATTATCATAGTGTTTTTCCCCTTGTATTTTGAATTTTGCTGCTCACAATAAAGTAGGTTCTGTGCAGAACATACCAGAAAAAAACCCAAACCAAACAAAGAAGATGCAAAGAGAAGCACTGCTAAGAAATTCAGAGACGTCATCTTGGTAGGGTTTTATTAATTTCAACTTGCAGAAAGGGTAGCCTGGTGGATATGTATGTTTCCATGAGTGGCAGCTACCCCTATTACCACTAGCTCTAGGTTTCAACTTAAACAGCATTGCATTTTCCCTAGCATTGCATTTTCCCAAGGTGCTGCTTGTGACAATGAAAGTGAAGTCTCGTGATACCACCAAAAGCTGCATTAAGCACTTGGTTAATGATATCTGAAAAAAGACTCCATCTGTTTTACCATTGTTTTTCAGAAACCATCACAGAAAGCCAAAAATTATGTTTAAGAACTTGCCAGTTGATCCCAGTCTTTCTAAAAAATCCAGGGTGAAGATGTCTAGAGAGATGGTAGAAGTAACCAATGCTCATCACACATAGCCTGAGAAAACAAGCATCTTTTTTAACACACTTTCATAGCTTATTGCACTGTTCAAAAAACAAACAAACAGAGTTGGACAAAAGTCAAGAGTTCTTGATGTTGATATAGTTGGGGTATTTTTGGTAATTTGTAATTGGTTCTACAGAACCAATTAAAAAATAAGACATGAACGTGAAAGATATAGATCTATGAACTTTCTAATTGCTTCTGTCTGGAAGATTTGATCTATATGTGCTAGCTAAGGGTCTGCCCAGCTGAACAGTTAAGAATGCCAGGAAGTATCTGTATGCTTTCCACAAAATTCAGTATGTATCTTTGCTCCCATAAAAATGTTCCGAGCTTGGGGTCAAGCTTTAAGGAATGGCAGAGGAGAGGAAACAAGGTCTGGTTTTGTGGTCTATCTCATGCTGGGTACAATTACAATACTTCTTAAAGCATCACCCTAGGACTTGCAAGACTTAGGTTCACATTCCTGTTTAGCTACGGACACATGGTGTGACTGTCGCTTCATCTACAGTGGGAAGATTAGTGCAGCCAAGCCTCACAAAGGTGTTAAGATGGATATGGTAGCTGTTGCAAGGTGTTCAGGTACTGCAGTGCCAGGGAACATCCATCACCCACAACAGACCGTGTAGTGCAGCTCAGCAAATAGACACGCTTGGTTACTAGGAAAAAAAAAATTAGCCTTAGTCCTGACAAATAAATAAAATCTATAGCTGCATTCTGGGATTAGTCTGTCCTTGTCAGAGGCACCTGTGACATCCTAGGTGATGGTTCACTTCAGATGATTCTCCTTAACGAAAACTATTACTTTCATTCCCCTGCAGGAAAAAAGGTGTCCATAAGTCTGTGTATGCATGCGGAAACAATGTGCAATACAGACTTTGGCTAGAATATTTGTCCTGCATGTTAACCTTATCTGAGGTGTGTAATTGAAACATTATTGCTAAAAGACTTTTCTGAAGTAAACAAAAGCTAATCCGGAATGATTATTAGGTTGGCAAGGATATCCAGAGTGAAAAGGAAATACTACCTTTTTATCTGGTTGAGGAAGTTTGAAATATCCCACAACTGAAGCCCAAATCAACTCTGCTGCCTCATACCACATCCCTGAAACAAATAATAAAAATAGTCACTAAGCAGATTACTGCTACAGATGACTTTCAATAGTTTATTTTATACCTCCTTGAGTCAGGAGCCCTCAAAACAGTATAAAACCATACCATGGCATTTTTTGCTTTGGTGACACCGAGTATTTATTAATTTCCTTTAGCTTTTGGTTGTGCATAAACACACATTTTATGCTCATAAAAGACTTCAGCTCAACAGTCATGGCAGATGAAAGCTCACATCAAAAACGTAACATTAAGGCTGTTGGCCTCAAGTACCAAGCCCTGAATACAGAAGCCCATCACACTGAAAACTAGGGATTTTCTTGTCTTGAGGGAGCAAATTGCTGTGATAATACCTGTGATAAACTACTGCATGCTTTTGGGAACAGCAAATTTGGGAAAAGCATTAGCACAGGGAAAAAAGGGAACAGCATTTCAGAATGCCCCTCGACTTCTGGTAAGATTAAAATAAAATGATAATTTCTAAAATGTGTTTGCTTGGTACATGGCTCTAGGTCCTTGCTGCAAACAGACGGGTCTACAACTCATCTTCTGTGGCTGTGTTATGGGCATCAGGCAGGTGTTCTACAGAAGCTAAAACCCTGACATATGCCAAATGTACCACTTTAAAGCTTGCCTGCAAAGAAAAAAAAAACAGGGGAAAACCTTGGGCACACGTTTATAGAACAAAGCCTTACCAAGCTTTTGCAGAATCTGTCCTCTGATTTGTAAGCAGACTGACTGAACGAGAACCCTATCACTTTCCTTAGCGTATCGCCACGTACCTGCAGAAAGAGTGGAAAAACTCAGTAGAGAATGAAAAATGGTGCTGTCATTTTAAGCCTCTGAGGGCAACCTAAATCCCAGTAAACTGCCAGGATTCTCCCCATTGAATTCAGCTGGTTTGAGTCAGGACTTACAGTCAGGTAGATGACAAAGAGATAGTGTGTTAAGGAATGTAAGTAGACAGCTATATGGGTATGTAGCTTGAATGACAGCTATATAGAGCACAAAAACAATCTAAAAAGTGAAAGGTATCTCTCTTCTGTGAAGTAACAAAAAGTCATTGTATATAGACATTGTACAGAGTCACATTAAAAACCAGCCAAAATGATTAATATGGGATATCTTTCTTGTCACCAGTATATACAGCAGAGCAAAATACTTTTAACCATTGGCAAAACATGTCTTCTTTTCAGATATCAGTATCTCATGAGGACTAAAGCAAAAGTTTTCATGTTAACACAGTATGATTACTTACACAAAGTCATTTGTTATCAAATCTATATTGGGATTTCAGAATAGAATATGCAATAAAATCACTAAGCTTTCCTACGTATTATGAACATTTCACTGCAATTCTCAGCATGAAGCATCTGTTCAACAACACATCTTCAATGTTAAACAAGCAAGTATTATCACTGAATATTATGAAAATAATCTTAAAAGAAAAGCATAATCCCAAGAGAGCTGAAATGCAGTGTTTTGCATAGCCAGTTCTATACTTTATAGTGATAGTGGGTATTTTGTTTAAAGCCCTCTTGCACGAAGGCCCCTCTTGTAGGAGAATCTCAGTTTCACATGAGAAACAAAACAACAAAACCCATAATGGGCTGCTTAAATTTTCGAAGCTTCATGGTTGTAGAGAAACCTGAATGTTTTGACTAAATAAACCCTAAAGGCTAAGAAAATGGAGAACAGATATAAAACCCTAAAATACATTGTCTCAAAAACATAACTAAATAATTATTATAGATGTCTATCAAAATCAATGTATTCTTACCATTAGAAATACCACACATGCCTCCAGAGCTGAAACAAGCCTCAAGACCAGCAGTATAGTCATTTGATAGAAAGAAAAAAAAAAAGTAATTTCTACAAACATCATTATGCATTAAGGAATGGACCCATTTTTACAGTTTTGCACGTCTATCCAGCAATAAAGTGCTGTAAGAACCAGGATCCACTCTCCTTTTTTCTTAACCCCAAAAGATACTAAATAATTGCACTGCAGCCTGCTACACGTCTAGAATAAAGTATTCATTTAGTTTGTAGGATCAGTGTGAATTTGGAGGATAAGCATTACTCTAACAATCTGGACCTTTTAGGGGGAAGGGAGTTAGTTTTCTGGATCAGTCAATTGCTTGAAACTGGTCCACATTTTAAAATTCTCTGGGCAGAGAAATTAGTAGGAAGGCTGTCAAACCAGAATATTTCCCACCCAAGAGAAGACACACAAGGATGAATGATGGAAATTTCATCAAACAAAGTTGCAGTTTCCATATTTTAGCAAAGAATGGTGAAGAAAAGAGGAACGTGAGGTAAGGAGTCATTACTGAGGTCAGGTTGGCTGTATTTGAAGCTTGTGTGACCGTTAAAATTAGTACCAAAAATCCACCAAAATAGCAACTATGAAATTGGAAAAGAAATACGTACCTGTTGCTCCATTGTCATTAATAAGACTGCTTAGGATATATTCAGCTTTCAAAAGTTTACCTGATTAAAAAGTTTTAAAAAGGTAGAAAATGAATATAAAAATGTATCATGTGGCATGAAGTGAACAAAAGTGTTCATCAGTGAAAGCCCCTGCAAATTGTACTCTTCTTCCCAGCACTGTCAGTGTGCCCACACTTAGACTAAACTTTCCAACTAACTATGTGCTGCAGATGCTACCTCACGCTCAGGAGTCTCTTTGACAGACGATATTTCATATATACAACAAATATTGCAGAAAACGCTGATGAGGCAACTGGTTCTAGACAGCCATTTGCTTCAGAACCTCATTGCGGCCTTCCAATACCTGAAGGGGGCCTACATGAGAGATGGGGACAGACTTCTTAGCAGGGTCTGCTGTGACAGAACAAGGGGTAATGGTTTTAAACTAAAAGAGGGTAGATTTAGACTTGACGTAAGGAAAAAATTTTTTACAATGAGGGTGGTGAAGCACTGGCACAGGTTGCCCAGAGAGGTGGTGGAAGCCCCATCCCTGGAGGCATTCAAGGTCAGGCTGGACGGGGCTCTGAGCAACCTTATCTAGTTGGAGATGTCCCTGCTCACTGCAGGGGGGTTGGACTAGATGACCTCTAAAGGTACCTGCTAGCCCAAATGATTTTATGATTCTACACTGCCTCCCTGTCACTCTCTACTTAAAGAACCATCTTAAGCACAGAACATATAGCCAAAAACATATAGAAAGGATGCAGCATGCAATACAAAATGGGGATTCTGCCTTTCAGCCCCTTCACATGGCTCAGAGGTTTTGTCACATGGCTGGAGTCACCCGTGGCAGGCTCGAGGGGCTGCAGGAGACACCTTAGGTCTAATTCAATCAGCTTGATTCATGCTGAACCTTGCTTTGTGTCTCAATTGTCCGGCTGAATTCAAGAAGGCTGCTCCAGCCAGTGAAGCAGTCTAAGTGTTGGCTGAACTAGCCCATCAGTTGGAGTGTGCCAGTACCCAGACACCACGGCAAGGGGAGCATGAGAAGTCCACAGCCACAAATAAAAATGGCTATGCAGGGAACTTACAGTTCTCTTCTCTGCAAATAAGATATTCCTCAATTGGGTTTTTCAGAACACGTTTGCCTGGCTTTGTTTTTTTCTCCCCAATGGGACAGTGGGAAGATGCATTAAAAATCCTTCCGGTGTTGCCCATGTTATAGGAATGATGGAATTTATTTTTTTTTAATCAGTTTATCCTTGAGGGATTGTAAGCTGCATTGCTTGCATAGTCAAGTGGTCCCACTGAACAAAAAAAAAAAAAAAGCAGCTGGGACAGTGCAGAGAAAATGCCAGGATTCTAATTTACTTTTTAAAGGCCCTTGGTCAGAAGTATAGCAATTCAGATATCCCTGTTTGAAACCAGCAGGGAAGATTTGTTAAGGAACAAAAGCTCCAATTAGTATTTTCCACACCCTTTCACAATTTTCTCTCCTGCTTTTGGCTCTGAAACCCTTTATAGCAGCCCCTTTGTGCTAGTGAGAGGAGCTGGGAGGGCTCAAGGGGGCTGGGAGTGGGCTGTGCGTTTGAAAAGATGGCACCGGGGCCGTCAGCATGTCATCCCCAACAAGGGACAAAGTGTCTTCTTCAAAGTCAAGTAGTTCATAATTGGGTTTGAGCTGAGAAAATAAAGCGGTACCTGTGTTGACAGAGAGGCGAGCCTGGCGGATGAGCACCTGAGGACTGATCGGCGTGGTGGGCTGCAGCCTGTGCAGACCCTTGGCAATCTGAAGAAGTTTGCTGGAGGCATCAATCCAATACAGGAACCGGTCAATCAGGAACACAATAGCTGTTGCTGTTACGCAGTCCTTGACCATGATGGAGGCTTTCAAATAAACCTGAAAAGAACACCAGTGCCACGGGGCAGCCTTGCAGAAACTCACCTCGCAAAGGCTCAGTGAACCGCTGACAGAAAATACTTAGCTTTAGTAACCCTCTGCCTAACGGCGCTGCCTACGTGCCATTTTAGATCGGCTGGGATATCCTTAGTTATTTGCTGTAAGGTGGCTACACAGTTTTACAGCAAGTGAAGTACTGAACGTTACAAGAAGCAAATATTCACTGGCAATTAAAAGGCTGTCTCAAAATTTCTACTCACCTTATAATCTTTATCTTCCTAGGCATTTATATAATAAAGAAAGTTTTTGCGGCCGTGATCAGACAGGATTTATTGCAACTTATGATTATTCCTGATCATATTTTCAAGACAGTAAGGTTCCAGCTGTTTATTTTGTCTGAGCTGTAGATATCATTCCTGATTTTTTTTTTTGTCTTTCTAATTGTTGTTTAGTATTTGGAACCGCATAATTTGGTGGCCTGTTAATGAATTTAAACCATGACCAACAGATTACTAGCAATAATAACGATTAGTTTAAAAGGGGGACACGAGTCTGGAAAGACTGGAAATGGTCACTATAGCCATTGTCCCAGACGGAGCTCAAGCCATCCACTCCTTTGTGCACCACAAACAAGCAAACAGGCCAGGAGTCCAATGTTTTTCCCCTGCAGGTCATCTTTAATGTCGTACTAAGTCTGTATGAACTCTCTTGGATTCCAACAGTGGCTGAGCCATCACACCGACGCAAGGAATCAGCCAGAGCTTCTGACAGCATGCTGTTAAGAGGACAGGAGGTCAGCAAAGACAGTCATGAGGGGTGGGACAGCCTCATCATGGTTGCAGAAGTCCACGTGGACCTGGGGACCCCTACCAAAAACCAACCCCTTTCCCATGGTGGGCAGGGGTTGGTACTCCAGCAAGGAGGTGCTCCACATGCTGACATCCAGGCGATCCCCTTTTTACAGCTTTGTCGTGCAGGATGGGGAGGATGGCATCCAGTCACTGTTTCACTGGAACATCTGCCTGAAATACAGCCATCAGCTGTAAGGAAAGACCCACCTCTTCAGCTCTGGAGCCTCGCGGGTGCCCTGACCTGTCTGGTCTTCGTGGCCACCAGCCATTCCGCAGCCTCACGCTGCCTAGGGAGAGCCTGGCTTCCTGCTGCCCAGCCTGGCTCCAACCTGGGAGCTGGCAACGGTCGAGTAATGCTTTGTGGTGTGGTCAATCACAAGAGGAAAGGAAAAACAGAAAACACCTCAAACCATACAAAGCCTCCTCAGAAAAAGGATGCATTTCTCATCTCATTCATGCCAGTGAGTAACTCCACTCGTGAGAGTAAAAGCAACACAGGAAAGGGAGGATCAGGTCCCACGGCACCATCAGAGGATGAGAGACTGCCACGAAAACTTTGTCCAAATCCCCACTAAAGCATCAAGTTTGGCAGCTATCTCCCATTTTCGTCTCAGCACCAGCCTCCTTCCCTTGCCTTCCCTGTGTAAACGCGCAGGTAGAGCCACAGAGACAGCAATGCCCACCACCTGCTTTAGACACCACTCAGCCTTCCTGGACTCCTCCCGAGACTCATTTCTGTTCTCTTTGCTTTTAGCTCAGAACCGCACAATCTGACAGCAAGATTCATTCTTGATTTTGAGCAGCATAACCAGTGCCTGAGACACGCAGGTGAAAGCCTGTGGCAAACCGTTCGGAGAAGAGCCTACGGTATATGGGATGAAGGCCGGCTTGCAGCACCAATCTGTCACAAGTATTTGCTAGCCTGTTTGCACTTCAGCGAGGCGGATTTGTACAAATTTCCTTTTTTATCCTGAGCCCGAGTTGGATTTTCTAAGAGAATGGCACTTGAAAAGGATTCCTGGAGCCGGGCACGCACAACTCCACTTGTGCCGGCCAACAATGGAGGAGTCCCCCTCTCCAAGCACCTGTAAACTGACACTGCAAACCAGCCATTTGAAATGCTCATCAACAGGCCATATATTTAAGCACAGAGCATCGCCTAATCTATTTTTTTTTCCTCCCCTTCTTCCTTTAATAGATTGGAGCACAAAAGCCTGAGAGAGGGTGACCTACCAAACAAAAGGGCCTTTGAGTTCCTAGGAAAAGTAGACTTGGAGGAGGATGGAAGGAATCCAAGTGGCCCTATTATTTCCACTTGCACTAATTAGACATTTTTCTGTCAGCTATTGAGCACTGCTGAGAGGCCAAACTCACTGAATTCATTTCTAAAGTGTTTACAGAAGTTTGCATCTGTTTGTGTCTCTTCAGGAGGAAAATAAGCACTTCAATAGCATTGTGGAAAATCTAAACGAAGCATCCTATTCTGAAGGGCTTGGCAGTCTTGCAGCTGCATAATTTAACTCTCCGCTCAATGCCGAAACCTCTTGTGTCCCTCTCCAAACCCAAACGGACGCAAAATGTAGAAAAGTCAAGCCAGGGAGAGAAACTCGGCTATTTTTTTTTAAAAGGCAGGGCTGCATGCTGTGTGGCACACAGAAACACGGTTCGATGTCAGTCTTTGCAATTACGTCCCCCCATTCCGAGCAGTACACCAAGAAATTCATACCCGCTCCTTTCATTCCCTGCCAACTCGTGTGGCTGGAAAATTCCTCAGCACCTACAGCTAATGCACCGGCGTGCTAGGCACGCACCCAAACCGTGCACAAAGACCCTCCCCGCGCCACGCCGAAAAGAAACGGGGGAGCGGCTCCCTGTCACCCAGCCCAGACCCAGGGAAACTCTGTTGACTTCCAAGATGTCACAGCCTACCCCAACACAATCAGAAACTTGTCGCCGCTCGCCGCAGCTGGACACTTTGTTCTGCATAGCGCCCTAAAGAGATTTACTGACTTTATCACTTTAAAGGCGACGTAGGCGCATCTACACAGAGCGAGAGAGAGAAAGAGCGAGGTACGTGCGCACTTTGTTTCCACATCTGTGTCCATGATGTGAAATGCATATGTCTAATTGAGTTTATGACACAAAGGGAACCTCGCGGCTGGGAAGTGGAATCAGGTGGTGAGAGAATTAAATTTGCACCAGATTTCTATACATGGACCATCGGGGAAAATGCAAAACAGCCTTTAGTGAAGGGTTTTTTTGCTTAATGGCGATGAGTGGGAGGGTGTGCTGTTTGCATGGTTCCCTGCATTAGTGGGTTAGCTCCTCCTTACGCCGGGGCTGAAGTTTGGGTCCCAGCTTTGGGTTCAAAGCCACGACGCCTCCTTTGCATTGACAATGGGGGCCGCTCCCAAGAGAGGGGAGAAGCTCAGAACCGGGGCCATCTGGCACTAGGACTGGCAGGAAAGCGTCAAAGGGAAATTATTGGTGCATAGTAAATGAGGACGAGGAGGAGGGGAAGAAAATAGGGGAAAATCTTTATGTGGCAGCTGATGTAAGAGGAATTACAAGCCCAAATAAATGAAATATTGATTTAATCCACTCTCTCTGCCCTCTTTATAAAGCAAAGATCCCGGAGGCAGCCTCACCCCCCCCAGTCTGTGGGCTTGGGAGGGTCCCCTTTGGAAAAACGCCTCTGCAAGCGGTGAGGTTAGAAAGCAGCGGCAGGAATCATTTCATTTTCAGAGTGTCCCCACAGTTTTGCAGATGCTCTGGATTTTTGTGTTTGCTTACATCCATTCACCTCAGACTGTTTCAGTCTCTGTTTCATTTGTAACTACAGCTGAGGTTTAAAATCTTAAAAAAAACCCTCATACCAAAAGCAGTCAACAAAGAATTTCTAATTCTGTGCACAAGTCAGGAGTTCCAGTGGCATGGACTTCCAGGTGCTTTAGTCCTCTCCCAAGAGCTGTTCCTAGTTAGCACTTCACTGAACCCTAACAAATTGCCCGGTTTTCTTTCTCCCTACGTTCGTCCCCTGTCAGATTAAACACAGAGTCACAACACCAATGGATTTGGCTGAAGTCTTTCACCCCTTTACCCCACGCGCCGTTAGCAAAGCCTGTCTTTCCAAGAGACCAAAGCTGCTGTCACCGCACGGGACTTCTCTATCAATCTCTGCCTTTCAGCTGGCAATCCGAGCCCCCTCGACAAATAACAAGGAATTAAGCCTCCTACCACCTCCGTGATGGGCAGAAGAAAGCATGTCCGCGAAGTGCAGACGGATACGCTTGAAACATGGGACAGCCAAGTCACACAGTAAATAGCAGCTCCTGGACACTTTCCTCTCTGCTCAGAGCAGCGGAGAACCCCATTTAATAGCTTGTGCTTCTGACGCTGTTAATTAGCTCAAGTTATTCATCCTGAAGGCGATGGAGAGTTGGGTGTTTATTCAATAGGGGCAGCATTAGGTCCATTATTAGCAGCTCAAAACACCACAGAATGAGTCGGTTTTTCACAACCGACTACATCCTGCTTCACCAACTGAGCAAGTACTAGAGCGAGAATAACTCTCGCTTTTCTCAAAAGCGCGCCTTTTTTGCAATTTAACTTGCCACTGATTGCATTTTACTTCTATTGGGATGTTCATTTTACTCCTATTGGGTTGCTCAACAGTAGCATTTTGGGGGGAGGACAGAAGCCGAGGAAGCTCCTTGAGGGAGAGTTCCTGAGGCCCTCACGTACCTGAGAAGGCAGCGGGGCTTTGGGGGACAGCAGTCGTCTGCAGGAGTACCTCTTCTTAATTATTACCAAGGATAGCTGCAACAATCATTTTGTGGCCCTGATTTGTCCTGCTGTGCTCAAGCTCTAGACTATTCATAAACCATTGTGGCCATTTCTTGTGGTACATTAAAACATTATGTTGAAGGGGATATTTTAATACTTTAAAATAGCTAAGTGACAGTGATAGAACCCCCTCAAGAGAGCGGCATCAAGACCATTATAATCAGCCAAAAATCCAAGAGTCTCTTTCCTAAATCTGTGTCCTCAAAACATCAACCCATTTCAGAAGTAGTTTAATTGGGAAGGAAAACACAACATAGCAATCTCAGTAAAACAGCATCTAAAGTCTTTTCCAGGGAGGAAATAACTCCATGAAGCTGCATCTGAGAAGAGGAAATCCTACCCATGAGCAAAGTGAACCGACAGCCCTACAGGTACCAGGGATCAGGCTTCCCATTTTTTTATTTGGTGCTCCACACAAATTCTGCCATAGTTTTCTCCCACAGGCAGCAGAAGGCTGAGTGCTTTGCAGCCTTGCATGCTGGCAGCATCGGGGCGGTCACCTGGGACAGCCGGAGCTCTCCTGCCTGTACCTGATCTCTGATACTTCTCCTTTACAAACCGTCAGGGATTGCGCAGCGTAAGGGAGGCTGGGGTGCCATGGATTCCCTCTTGGGCTGAATTCAGCCCACAGCCACGGCTCTCCCTTACGTCACTCTCCGTTTCACTGGGATCACCCAAGAAGAGCCCTTATGAGGCAGGTAGCAAAAGGTCAGCCTGAACAACCAAGATCCCAGGGCTACGATTTAGGGCTTTAATTCTCCTGTTACCACACCAACAGTTAGAAGGAGGAGAAAATTAAATCCTCAGCCCCCCTCTTTAGTTCTTTTTCAAAGGCTCCCAGCTCTTAAGTGCCACACACACACACCTAAGGGTAGTTAGGGCACGTCCCTCAGAATGGTTTCCCTAATGGCAATCCATCAGCACATAATTAGCCAAGGCCCAGGCAAGGGCTGCAGGGCCTTATTTTCTACCCTTTTCAATATTCCCATTAACTCCCATGAGATTCTGTGCCAGCAGGGCCAGGATCCGCGTTCCCCCATCCACGGCAGGGAGCATGGGGTCAGCCAGCACAGCTCCCTACAGCGAGTGCAGAGGGACCTGCAGGAACCCTAACTTTTGGGGGCTTTTCCTTCTGTACTTGTACTGTTCCTATCCTAGCAGATCCTGGTCCATGGCTGAATGGCTAAGTCTGGATGCAGGAACTACTGATATGTACGATAAAAACGAAGTAAAGCCCCACATCATTAAAATGGGTTTGCAAAGAGGTTCCGATCTTGCAAAAGAATAATTAAAATATTAATGTGGCATGAATCATCCCACAAGAGAACTACTTGTGTGCATAGAGCTGTCCTTCAGTGAAACCCGCAACAGGGTTTGTGGGACCAAAGCCTATGTGTCCATGGGCATGTTGCCCTCTATTGGCTGCTCCCCGAGCTTAAGGCTATTTCCTTCCCTTGGGATAGCACAGATCTGCAGGGAGGGGAACCCCTGGCACCCTCCCTTTGGATCTACAGCCCCAGTCCAAACCCTACAGCACATGTGCTATTTAGAGAGAAAAAGCAATCCCTTCTTATTTATACTTGCCAGCAAGGATGCTGTTATAATTCTGATTTTGCTTTGATTTGTTAAAAACAAAGATCCCAGTGCTTCCCAGTTTTTCCTTTGGATACAGACGTTGGTTATCGCCCTTCAAGCCTTAGTGCAGATTCCCACCAAAGGGGCGTTCAGGCTGAGGCGGCGGCTGCAGGACGGGTTTGGTTTGCTAGCTGATGGCAGCTGACACAGAGGCTCTCTTAAAATCTGTTAGGAAAACGTGGAAAACAGTATGTTGAGCTTGTTGAACTGGGGTGGCCTTCGTATTGGTTGGTAAATCCCTGCCAGGGAAAAGAAAAAAAGAAAAAAACCTAACCCCCAAACCAAAAACCTCCACCTTCTATAAGATGCAAAGATTTTGTAAAAACAGAAGTGCTGGTTTGCCTCAAGGATTACAGTAAATCTGTTGCCTTAAAATCCTCAGGAGGTTCAGTAATTTCATAGAGTGGAGAGGGAGGGGAAAAAAAAAGAAAAGTTTGCATACATCGCCAAAATCTGCCCTCAGCCCTGCTCTGGCAGCAGCATGGCTCCCATTGAACCCAGGCTGCAGCGAGAGAGCACCGAGGAAAGCCTGGCTTGCCGCTACCCCCTGCCCCCCCCCAGCTGGTTTTGCCATGCCTTCCTACGGCTTCAGCCAGCGTGCAGAAGTAATGAGCATCCCACAGCAAAGGCGAAGAAGAGCACTTTAAAAGGCCGCAGGTGCAGGTGGCTTTGCCTTCTTGATGTTCCAAACTAGCGTGCAGCCGCCAGCAATGGGTATCCCACTTTTTAAAGTGCAACACTAAGGCAAACCCTTGAAGCCAAAGCCTAATCCGCTTACTCACTGTGCGGGTCTCATGGAGCTTTTCAGCCTACTCGCAGAGTAAAACATCCTCATGGCGAGCCCTGGTAGCAGCTCTGCCTCCTCGTAACACCACCAGTGTGTTATGGTAATGAAGTGCCTTTCATTCATGGATCTCAAAGCACTTTCTAAATGTAATGAATTACGGTTTATGAGCTTATTCTAAGCATGGCAAATTAAAATAAACAGAGAAGAAAAATTTTAAAGGTTTTTCTGAACAATAAATTGACAAAGACTTAGGTTTTTTCCTCCAGGGAATTAAATTATCCTTCTGTCCCTCATGCCAAAAAAAAGAAAAAAAAAGAGGGAAAAAAAGGAGAATAAAAAAGTTGCTCAGACTTTTATCTTTCCTCATCACACTGTAATCACTTCTCTTCAGCCTTATTCCCCCCCCAGCTTTTTATTCAAAGAACTGAAGCAGCCTTTGCTCTGCCTTGAAATTTTATTTAAAAAAAAAAGGGGAGGGGAAAGGAACGGATGAAGGGGAAAAAAATCCCTTTTCCTGACTAATACTAATAATACAGGTCAAAATGTCAGTCTATCTACAATTAAATGGAAAACAAAAAAGGTTTTCCCTTTTTCCCATGGTACAATAGCACTGGAATATAAATTACCGACGAAGATGAAATAATACTTCAAAGCACATGGGGAAAGGCAGCACAACGTTTACAAAGTATTTTCAACCGCAGGATGAAACATTGAAGACAACGGTAACCAATGGACTTCAGGGGGTGTCAGTGAATAGTCTAAAACTAGCATGCGGTAGGATTTTAGGTCCCTATAGTCTATGACCCCATGATATGCTTTGTTTAACAAGGGCAGCTGCAGTTATCAACAGATGTTTCAGCAATAAATAATTGGTATCATCTCAGAAAAGATCCATCTACCTGGGGAGAGGGCATAATGCTGCAAACACTGCTCCACTATTACAGCCACATTAATCTCCCATCTAGCCAGGTCTCTCAGGGAGTTTACTGCAGGTGTTTATCCTGGGAGAGAGCAGACAAACGCTCTAAAGTTAGAGCGCTGTGCGGGGATTGTAAAGGAGGTCAACCTCTGCCATAAATTTCTGTCTAAGGCCACACACACCAAAGAGAAAAAGAAAATAAATACCCAAGAAGCAGCCGCTCCCCACCCCCCCGTCAGCAAATGCAGGATCCCTGCAACATGGGATGCTGGCGAGGGGATGCTGGGGCTGACACTTCCCAGCCCTGCAGTTGGCTTTTCTGAGCTTCGTATTGCTCCGTGCTATTCAAAGTAATCGTCGTCCTCAAACTTGCTGGCCTTACTTGGGCAGGGCTGTCTCTGAAGCAGGTGAAATCTCCTGGCCACCTTGGAGTTAACAGCAGTTTCTTGCCACTTTCTAATCTTTAAGCTCAAACTCATCACCTTACAGGATGGGATCCCCAAGCACCATTTGGATCCTACAACTCCTTACACAGCCAAGTATCCTTTACTTGCAGAAGTCACATTACATTCTTGCCTTTCCTGCCTAGGTTTTGGCCACTTTGGTCCTCAAAGGGATCCTGTCAAGTAATTTTCTTGAAAAAAGAAAAGCAGGTGATGAATTGTGCAAGCCCTTCTAAAGTGAGTAATCTTCATTGCCTCCTAGCAGTGCTGAATTAAACAAGGCACAGCATTCTTTTCAAATTCATGGTTTTTTTAAAGTTTTATACAAACATTCAACATTTTAGTTTTATTATAATGCCAGTTCTTCAAGGAAGAGGTAAACATTACCTCAGTGAACCAGAAACAGAACTGCTCTGTGAAACCAGAGGAACGGACAAAGCAAGTGCCCACACAAGCATGGGCTGAGCATGAAAGTGAGCAGAAACAGCATAAATGCAGTCAAAGTCATTGCTGCATGTTTCAATGAATGAGGCTGTTGTTCTGCAAGGTGCTCAATGCATGGACAATCCCTATATATCTCTGGGATCACTTCTAGACAAGGCAGAGCCAGTGCCCTCCACTCTGCAATGTCTCTGTCATTACTACCTAGGCACTTTTTTCCTTGCAACGCGGCAGCCAAACATCTGAACACACTCAAAACTTTATGACTTGAATCCACTTTATCTTCCCTGCGCTGGGAGAACACAAAACTGCAGGTACCAGCAACACCTCAAACCACCAGCCTTGCATGGTGTTGCACACCCGTCCGCCACTAGCTACGTAGCCAACGGACCAGAAGCCTAACGCCGAGGCAGAGCCCCCACTGATCTCACAACCTTGGCTTGGTTGCAGCAGGAGCAGAGGGTAGGACTTCCCTTCCCTTGGAAGATGCAGTGGTGACATGGAGATGTGCGGTCTCACAAGGAGCAGGAAACCGTGATTCACACATGTTGCTTCACAGCAACTTTAATGAAGAAAATCAGAAACTATACGTAGCTGCTGGGTCCCTCTCTTGTCTCAGGACCAAAACAAATAAAAGTCACGTCTCTATTTTGGCCCTTTGGCCTTTGTGAGCAGCCCCATCCCAACACAGACGCTCACCTCTGCTTGCCAAGCGGTTCCTCACCTTCTGCTGCCACTGTGCAGAAAAACAAGCCCCTGAATCCACAGGTGACACTACCTGTCGGAGCTCTGCGTACCCTCAAGCACCTCAGCGGGACATTTTACACAACAGGTGCGTTGAACTTCATACCAGCAAATTGGGGAGCCTCGCGCTGATCATATCTTGCAGGTTTGTTTTGTCTTCTGGGACAAGGTCTTGTTTGTATTGCCACTTCTCCGGCACAAAGGGCCACTTCATTTCCTTTGCCTCCTCCAGAAGGGTCCTCAAATCCTCGGGAAGCAAAGCTGAAAAGGTCAAAGAGCAGGTAAAGATATTGCATCAGGTTCAGCCACAACACTTACAACAGAGCACCTACCCTGCAAAAAGCATATCTCCCCTCCTGCTCAGATCCTCCCAGTTGCTACCAGCTCTTAGCTCTTGCACCAGCCTCATTGTAAGGGAAGGTGAGCTCGCCTGTCATCCGTTACCCTTGGCTGCTCTGCCCTCCAGGTAAATGGGAGCCATCAGCTATTAAAATGGCTTTTAGCAGGAAGTCACACTGGCTGGGCATGAAGAGCTACTCCAAAAGAGACAGGAGGAAACCTCTTCCCCTGTGTGAGAAGAGGAGTCCTGGCAGGACAAATGCGACCAACAGCAACCAACAGCACAGAAGACTCATCCCCCCCTGCTCGGGGTTTGCTGGTGTCAGTGGCAGAGCCAGCCTGAAAAGCCACATCCAAACTGGGAGATAAACCCAGATCGTGCAAAGTAATTAGACAAAGATCTACAGGGACATAATGAATAACAAGCATACGCTCTTGAGAATAATTATTTGACTGATAATTCAGTAAAAAAGAAGTTGTTGGTCTGAGTTACTCAACCTGCTCTCAAAGCAGTAGCCGTAGACTATAGGACTCGCTTTCCCTCAGCACAAGAGAGCTCACTGCTATAGCAAGATAAAATGGTTTAAGCCGTGTGCCTGGTAACCGCTATTAACACGGCAGTGCGCACAGATGCGTGGCAGATAGCACCTGAAGCCTTGCTGTGAGATGCCCTGTTTGAAGCTGGTGCATCTTCTTTGAAGCCGGCTTAGGCAAGTAATTCACACTAGCTGAGGAGCTGGCCTGAGCTGCTGCATTTCTCTTGCAGTTTGCAACAGAAGTTAAAAAGAAATTAAGAGGAGAAGGTGCCCTTGGTCCAGACGTATTCCTATCCAGCACAGAAACCCCAGTCCTCATGCCTTTCACCCGAGGATTTCCAAACCCTACCCAAAGCACAGCTTCCCTCCCAGCTGGAAAGGCCAAGCACAAAAGAGTCAGAAGACAGGTATTTTTATTTTTTTTTTGGATGAGGGCAAAGTACTCCTAGTTCCCACACCTGGCTCCTGATCCTCCAGCGATGTGCCAAAGCTCGCAAGGCAAGAGCGCAGTTTGGCCCATGCCCGTGTCCTGCTTCCTCCCTGGGCTGGCCCTTCGCTTCCCGGATAACCATCAGCTCCAATTCGATCTCCAACCTGACCCGACTAAGGATGCAAATGCTAGTAGGAGCATACAGCTAGAGAACTGGGCTTGGATTTGTCCCTTCCTTTCAGCTGCAGCCCACATTTTAATTTTCCTTGAAACAGGGGTGAAGCTGCAGCCTGAGTGTGCTGTGCTGTGCTAACCACTTGGCTGGGCAGACTCTCTGGCCAATAAAAGTGGATTAACAGGGATCATTGACCAGATGGGGTTAATGGTGATCATCAGCTGCAGATCTAGCCCCTTCTGGCCATTAATCCCCAGAAACAACCCTGCTCAGAAACCATCATTGCTTTAACGAGGCAATGCAATAAATGTATTACTAGGTATTTTTTGATCAATCCTTTACAGATGACTGTAGCAAATGCACTACATAACAAGTCTACTTTGTGCTCATATTACAGTGCATTCACTGGTATGTTTTTCCTAGGAAAATGTGGGAAGTCAGATATTTAGGGCCCTTTTTCCAAAAAGTCACCTTTAAAAAGATAGCACTTTTTCCAGCCCACGTTGTCTCACTTGTTGCTGCAGCTGTGGACACGCTTCCCGTTACACATCCCAGCTTCACGCGCAGCCACGCTTCCCTGCCCTTCTGAAGTGGAGTCTGGAGGGGCTCAGCCCTCCACGCCGCGGCAAGGTGGGCAAGCGGCAGAGCTGGAGGGGAGAGGAGGTCGTGCTCCCACACTCACACCTCTCACTGCAAAATCAGGGCAGGAGCAGGGATACCCATCTCATCACAAGGAACGCAAAATGATGGACAGAGGGTTTTATTCCCCCCTGTAGAAGTGGGAAGACCAAGCTTCCCAAAATTTTTCCAAAGGAAGATGGGGGGTCCTGAAGGCAGTCACAGCAAGCATATGATCCCACAGGAGTGACATTTTGGGGAGGGATCTAGAGAAAGAGAAACAGGATGCTCACACAGCCAGCCTTTCTGTCTCCTTCTCTACCTTCTTCTTCTGTCTTTCTCACATGAACTCAAGTCTACTTAAATAACACTAGAACAGGAAAAAATAATGGTGTCAGCAACTACGAAAATAATCAGTGGGATAACATGGACGTTGGCATTCTCTCTAAAGCATAAAGGTATTACCGCTGTCCTCTTGTTCCTATTTTCCATGTTATCCTTAACTAAACCTTAATCTCTCTCCTACTTGATGCACTGATGCACTAAAGAACAAAGAATCCAGTCAAATTCTTTAATAGTGAACATTGATTTTTAAAGAGCATCCTCAGCAGTCATACCGCCAAGCCGGTTAGAAAAGGAAACCAGGGTAACATTTCCAGAAGGATTTGGCAATCTAGGAGCCTTCAAGTCATCTTTGGGGCTAGACATTCGTGTAAGCCTAGCGGGATACCACTTTGAGCTTTGCTGTGACTTCTTGTTGTAATCACATGGAAATAAACACAATTAGCATGTTAATGACAATAAAATGATGCTGCATCACAAGAAGATCCACTAGAACCACACCAACCAGTTGGAGAGCTCGTATGAACAGCTCTGCAGCTTTCAGCTAAAATCTAGTTCCCAGGACAAGAGTTTACTCTTGTAACAGATAGCTGTTCTCACCGCAGGCAATATAAATTCATTAATTAATGAAGGTTGAACTGGCACAGAAGTTGATTGGAACAATTTCTAGCCTAAAAAGAAATAAAAAGGCAATCCAGACCCATCTAACACACATTCTGCCCCCTCAAATAAAGCGAGATAAGGACGAGCTTCCTCCTCTCCCCTCTTGTCCCTCCATTTATACGTATTTGGCTTTCAGTTCCTCCTGCGCCTGGTCTGAGAAAGACGGGGCAAACAAAGGCAGCCTTGGGAGGAGAGGGGGGTGAAGAAACCCCTGCCGCCTCTGCGCTGGCAGGGTCCCCCCAAAGCCAAGAGCCACCGACTTGCGAGGCCCTGCCTTCCCTGGGCAGAGAGCCCCAGCAGTTATTAATGTCGCTGTCACCGCCCCGCTGCTGGGTATTTTTCTTTCAGCTGATGGGAACAGGGTCCTCAGAAAAGCCCGAGCATCACTTCAGGCTCTGATCGCCCACTTCCTGAAGCAGTTTACCTGAAGGACCATGTCTAATTGAGTGATTATAAGGGCACTGATTTACCTTATCTGGAACTAAACTGATTATTTCTCATACTTTGTGGTACTTAATAGGAGAAAAGGAGGGAGGAGGATGAGGGAAAAAAGCGCTACCTGATTAGGAGTTCAAGAGACTATTCTAAGGAGCCATAATAAAACTTAAAAGAATTTGTGACGAGGAAACAAAGTACCCTTTGTTGAAAACAAAAAGAGAAGAGAAAAATCTTCCAGTATCCATAACAGAAACCTATACACCACCCTCCACCGCAAACAGACTTAGGTGCTTCAGAAAAAGGCAGCTGACCTCCCAGCAAGAACAAGGATGGTCGGAAAAACATATTCTCAACGGCTCTGTGCTCCGAGACAAACAAAGGATTTTAAAGATCAAATTAACGTTATGGCCGAGTCATTCATGCAAAGCAAAACTAAACATTATTAACACTAAACTGGAAAACGGACAGTACTGCAGATGCGTCATGCAAAGGAAAACCTGCACATAAATAGATTTTTTGTGGTTTTTTGCTAATGCCTTTGTTTCCCCTCCCAGAAATTTCACCTTCATCCTTTACTATATTCTTCCACACTTGCTGAAGTTATTTTTCTGTGTGGTAGAAGGGAGTACATAACCTCCCTACCCTGTACCAAAAAGATGTAATTCAAACAAGTTTAACAATTCAAATGTGGCTTTTATTTCATGAATAAAAAAGCTGTGGCAACAAAGTTATGTAGCCCTCTGAAATTCTGAACCTAGAGAAAACTGAACCGAGGGTATTACAGCCTTTCATGATTGACATGAAGTGGACTGCCACTGGAATTAAGAAATAATAAATTTTATTTACAAACCACTCTCAAAGCACCATGGCAATATCAAAATAAATGCTAGTTTCCAGCAGGTAACGCCAGCATTAAAACAAACGAAGAACCCTTCTATTACGGCTCTCGCCAACTACTGCTTCCTTTCCCAGTTATTTATTCCAGCCATTAGCCGGCACGGATTTTCCTTTCTAGAGGGATATTGCAAGATTTCTTTCTTTGGACACCACTTACAGAGGTCACCCACATTTTACAAGCTAAAGATTCAGGCAATGAGCCCTTTAATATATTAAGAGAACCTAACAAACAGAAAAGGTCCTCCCTCAGTTCCTATGAAAGGAGAGGAAATATGTGCCCTTATTCAGAAGTTGCATCCTTTTTTTCTTTCCTTTTTTTTTAATAACTGAAATTTATGTGCATCAGCAAACTTTTGGGCATTGTTCTTCCCAAACTAAACTGTTCCTTACAGCCTCATGTTTACTGAAGCCTAAAATTAGAACTGACAGCAATTCACTGCAACAAAGTGGACTTCTTTCCCTGCCTGCCTGTAGCCCGCATCCCATTCATGGCCTCGAAATCCAGGCATCTCTTGACACTCATCTGCCAGGAGAAGAAAAATAGGGCAGGGCTGAGGACCGGCGGGTGGGGCCCGGGGCCCGCCTCCTCTCCTGGGGC